CAGTGAGGGTTCTCCACCCCGCACAACATGATCTACTTGACCACTAGTATGGTTACCGCCAAAAAAAAAAAAACGGAGGAAAAAAAAAAAAAGGAAACCTGGTTGCCGAGCTCACGAAGTGAATTGGCTTGTTTTACAACGTCGTCGCCAAGCGACGAAAACCCAATCCCGATGGCAAACACCGGGGGGGGCGGCTTGTTTTACAACGTCGTTGCCAAGCGACGAAAACCCAACCCCGATGGCAAACACCGGGGNGGGGGGGGGTAGCAGCACGGTCAGAAAGCTAAAGCTAGGATCGCCAACCCGTATCAAGGGCGGCGGGGGGGCACTCATCGGATCATGAGAGAAACTGGTGGGAGAAATTTGGCTGGGCGGCGACTTGTTCGATCTAGTGAGAAAGAACCCCGCCACCACTGGTACTGGATGCGCTTTCCAGGCAGGGAGGAATTAAAGCAGGGTATGATTCTCTATCGATAATCCTTCCACCTAGTACGATACTCGATACTGGTGTCAAGGCTGAAAGGGCGCACACCTCTGGTTGACACGATGCACGACATTTTCAAAAAAAACCGCATTCAAGGGACTCTGCCACGAGACCCTCAACTCATCAGGACCAATGACGGTAACGGGACGACCAAACAGCCCCGTTTGTTCATGTAGTCCATCCCCTGTTTGGCTAGATGGGGAGTCCTATTCCGGGCCAAGTCAGCGACCCCGCTACAAGCGTCGTCGTATCGAGTATTGCAGAAAAGGAAATCGTGCATCTTTGGTGAGTGCGTGAGGGAAGAGCTGCTCAACCCCTCTCCCGCCGAGAACTCCAGTCAGACAGGTGCTGCCGAAGGGGTTCTTCTGTTGAATGTTCGCAGATTTTCGGTGTAAACCCCCCCAGTATCTGACTTTGTGACTGAACGGAGTCAACGTGACTCACTGCTTCGTGAGCTCCTCCTGCACCATCCCAAACGCCCCAGCGATAAACCCTATGCAAGGTACGCGAGAGGTTCTTGGCCATCATCCCAACCTTCTGACGGATTGAAGCGCCCCTAAGGGCGTACCCGTGCCCCGGATATTCTAGGGAAGACAACAACGGCGAGTCTTTAACTGATCATAATGCTGTCGTCCGGTAATACCCCTGGCCTCTGCCACTACACTTGCCCCCGTGCATGGCCACTTCACGAAACGACTACTACGCCGAACACGACTTACTGTACATGGATTTCCGGTGCGACATAGCATGATACCTCCGCCGGCGGCGGCGAAGAAATTATGCATAAACCTCACCAGCGATCCGTGATACATGTCGTCGGCGATTTGCTGCGCGTGCAGAAGAGTGGACTGCGCCTTCCGCCCTTCATTCGTGACCGCTACGGGCCGCCCCCTGCGCTGCAACGACCCCTGGGTCCCGTCCACCTGCTGAAGTCGAGACGAACAACAAACCACATGGGATGTTTTCCGTTAGAAACAAAGAAAGCACCAATAGTTGGTATTTCCCATGACGACCAAAGATGGCAAACAGCAGTAGTTGGTGATTATAATGAGGGGAAATCTTGTGACGGTTTGGATATCGCTGCGGCACGTTCGCATATGGATCGTGCTCGTCAAAAGCTTGCTTGTGGCGAGAAAGCACCTCGCATATAAGAGGGGGTTCAGACGACGGAGCATGCGGTCAAGGGACACATTTGCAACGAGCACGTAGAGGATGCCCGCTTGTTGTCACAGGCGTTTCGAGAAAAGTACGTGCCCGGTGCCCGATGTACCGGTGGCGAGAACCCGAGATTCGCATTCTTGCTGTCCTCGCTACGTACGTACTTGAATCCATGCTCACATAAAGACGTGCATATATAACAAGCTGCCTGTTCCATACGATGCCTAAACTGCCACGTGCCTGTCCAATACACTGTCCCAGGGGGACGACGCCTCGGACACACACAACGAGAGAGAGAGAGAGAGAGAGAGAGAGAGAGAGAGAGAGAGAGAGAGAGATATGTAGTCGGGGCGAAACAGACGACAACTTTCTCGCCCGACGAACGCGGGGGAGACACTGTTGGGCATACCTGAGGGGGGAATGAAACTGGCAGATACTGGGAGGCCGTGAAGAGTGACGATGGAGGCGTTTCGGAGGAGCTGATGTGAAAGGATAGTAACGGTCGAACAAGGAAGGTAGACGACAACGAAAACTACGGAAAGTGTGGCGCAATATCATACGTCCCGTCATCCCATTTCTCACCTGTGCGAGCAGCGAATGTCTCAGCTTGGTGAGCTGGCGGCTGCACCGGAGGAGAGCATGCAGCAGTGGGTCTCCCTTGATCACCTCCGTGGCTTGCGCAGGGGCTTCGCCCGTCTCGCCTGCCGCTGTCGCGAGCGCCGGCGCCGCCGGCGTGGCCTTGGCAACCTCCTGGTTTGCGTGACGAAGAAAAGAAGCAGTCAACGACCAGGTCGGACGCTGAAAGAGACGCCACACCGTCCTTCAGGAGAGAGGGGGGAATACCATGTATATAGAGCGCCCTCCCTCGCGGGGGTTCGTCACACGAGAATCGTGCCGGATGCAGCTCGCAACCTATACCTGGTATTTTGCAAGAGTGCTTTTCACCGTTCCTTGGTCCCACAGTGGTGTGGATATCGAAGCGCCACAGAGGCAACCGAATTGCATCACTGATCTAGGTAATGCTTCCACATGTGTACGCCGATTCAAAGCACCGTGCTGGGCACCTTTTACGAAAAAGGGGAAGGTTGACGTTGAGGGTGGGCTCCACTTTGGAGGGCGCATTTACGTTTGGGTTTGGTTTGGGTTTGGTTTGGGATTTGGAGGGGAGGGGATGTTCGTCCAGTTCGTGCGGTAAAGATTGCCAGGCACATAACAAAGGCAAGGCTAACAACACAAGAAAACGGACGGACGTCGGTACTGCTGTATTTAGCGTTGCATCGCGTGATTTGATTGGTTACTGGATCTTTATATCTTGCGTCTGTAATCAAATGTGTGTGACTTTGTCTGCTGTCTGCCCCTCGGTCTGCTGTCTACCTCTGTCTGTTGGCTGTCCCTCGGTCTTGCTGTTTGTCCGTCTGTCTCCAGCTGGCCCAGCTACTCTACCAAGAACCCCGGTAAGTTTACCTAGAGGCTTCCCCAGATGCCCGAAACTTTTGTGCATGAGGGTCACACCGGTCAACACACAGACACTCTTGATTGACAACGTGAAGAACCGCCGTGTTGTTGAGTACAAATTCCTTGAATAAAATAACGGCATGTAGAGCTTTCGTGAGCACTAAGCGGGGTGTTGTCAAGGAAATCGGCGCAGCTTTGTTCACGGGGGTAAACGGCTACTCCCGTGTGTGGACACCAAATGTCTCCGATTTCTGGTTCGCACCAACCAACAAACACCAATTGTATTATGTGACTAGCTGCAGAAATCCAAAGGTTCTTATTATTGAAGGAATCAAGGCCGGGCGATCATACCGAAGTTATTGTGCTCCATACCTGATATCCGGGGAGAAAACGTAGGCTCGATCAGCTGCTGACAAGATGCTATAGATGTCAGCCAAGTTGAAATTTACGGAACAGTTTGTTGACGAAAAAAAGGACTGTTACGTATCTTCGCCACAATTGCCTTTGTAGTAAGGAGGCAAGTACCGCAGCGAAAAAATTCTTCTCTATGGGTCTGGAAGTGGAGCCTGTCCTTTAGGAGAGGAACAAGGCGGGTATGCATATGCATCTCTATACGATGTGGTAAGTAGACTTCGAGAAGCGACGGGAAAAGGTGAGATATTTACAATGTGTCGAGCAGTATTCGACAAAAATGCGGCGGAGACGACGATAGAGCCTGCTTGGGGTACATATGTGCGTACACGAACTTGACCAAAACGGCAAGGGTTATGCCCACCGACTGAGACACAGGCACGGTGCAGCTGCAAAGAGGAAACAAGCTGGTGGATTGCTCTGTGAGAACCACAAAAAAAAACGTCGCCACACCACTACTGCGCTTCGTCATGCCACCCAACATACCCTTTTATCGCGATGTTCAACCGCACAGAGCTGGGATCGGGCGGAGATTTCAAAGTGTTGATGCCGCTTCCTGTTCCTACGGGATCATCATTGAGGGCTGTATTGACTGCTGGCAGAGACACGCTGTGTTTGCTGGGCGCACAAACGCTGGTGCCCAGGGTCCTCCCTGCCCCCCCATCACACAAGGACATCACGAGCATTCAACTCACAGCAGTCAGGTGGCCTTCTGGTATCAACAGGTCCGGGCAGACCCAAACTCTGGTAAAAATCGGAACGCGCCTCTTTTCTGTCACCTTCACGCAGCATATGTGGCACCTGAAACAGCAACAACCCCAGCCACCGATTACTTTGGTTTCTAACCCACCTCGTCCAGATGTCGCTGGAGCTCCAACAAGGCGATGTCAATCTCGCCTGCCGCGCGTAAAGCCCTGCCGCCCGCTGTAATATCAATGCTACTGCTGCTACTTTCCGCCATGACACCTGCCATTTTCCCAGCTCCTGAAGAGCGAGTCGTGTGACAAAGAGATAACCTACGTGTCCAGCGTTTCAGAGTCACAAAACGGGAAAAACCACCTCTCAAAAACCTACGGCTGTCTGCTACTATGCTGTCCCCTCTATCCAGCTATTGGCGTGGTCTCGCTCTCTCTTCAAACAGCTGGGAGACGGCAGCAGGCTCTCCTGTATTTTTTTTTTATGCAATTGCCCGCCTCAGTATCTGGAGATCCGCATCTCCGACACGCACGAAACCGCTCGGCGCTCCGCCGTCACTACTCGTCGTGGAGCGCCCTACCTTGTACTCTTTCGACCCCCCCCAAACGTCCAAAACGGCGTTCATATAAACAAAGACTTTTCAATAAAAGGGGAGTAGAGTACTGTACCCCAGCCGTTGCCACGCATGTGTGAGGAAGTGGGCGGTCATCGCGTTGCACGGATCAGCCAGACGCGAGATACGGATGAACGGGATCGTCGTCGACGAATGAACGTGCGTTCATAAGGTGTTCTTCGTGAACTTCGTGAATATAGTCTAGTCTAGACATTTTTGCCGATTATTTCGGAACATGCACCCAAAGCACCCACGTCAATTTTGTGACGTCTTGCAGGAGACTTTCAGGACCAAAAAAGGTGGCACCTGGTTGTGTCAGCTTTGGTTGTCTGCGATCTGGCAATCATCTGTCTGTGGCGATTGGGGCGTAACCTACTTCATGTATCTGTAGAGACTGCGGGGGTACGTAAAGATTGCAGGCGTACCCGCGTAGTGAACAAAACACCTTTTCGTCTGCACCTTCCCAACATAACATATATGAGACACACAAGACAGCTACCAAACTGATTTGTTGAGCCTGTTACCCACAGGGGAGATGTCCCTATATGCTGTCTGGGAAATCGTAGACACACAGGTAGTTTTCTCTGACGCTATGATTCCATTGTTAATCTGTCTCTGACTCTTTTCTATGATAGAGATGGACTCGTTGTGTCATATTAAGAAAAATAAAAAAAACAAACTGACTGAACGGAATTACACGGGTCGATCCAACAGCATCAAATGGCATGCATATATGCGGGTATATCCGCCAAAAACACGCAGTAGCAGCTGCGGTCCAAGAGAGAGTTGGGACAAGGCAATACTCTCTTAAATCCGGAATTCTCTCATGTAATCTATCTGTCTTCAACAGCCTGTCACGTGCCGTTCATTCCCTGGGACGAAGGTGAACCACTGCTGTGACTACCGGGTTCCACCGCTCGAACGTTGTTTTGTTCCCCGCCAATTTTTTCTGTTGGTGCTGTGACCATGCAGACTACTCGCGATCACTGACACAGCAGGTGGGTCTTCGCGGCAGCGAGTAAATTGACGGTATGCTAGCCGTTGCTGCTTCCATGGATGCAGGCAGGTCGTGGGGACTCCTGTCTGCTGGCAACTCGATGATACACACTTCTACCAGGGTGAGTTGTTGGTCGGATATGAACTTGCGGATACCTCCACACAGTGCAGGAGACAGGATGGCATTTGGACCCATACGCACCACGCACAGGCTATTGGCTCCACTACCGTACACTGACAACATCGCACACGCATGCATGCACTCGTTACGACTCCTGGTACAGTATCCTCGTCCCAGTTGAATCCATGAGAATAGCTTGTATTTTCGAACACAAACTTGCCGGAGTGGAAGCTTAGAGTTAAACTACCGTAGGGTACTGTGGCCGCACACCCTTCTCGTGCTTCTATCATTTTGCCAACTACCGCCTAAGAAAGATGTACGATTCATTCTTCACGCGACATTCATTGGGGTCACTTTCAAAGTTTGTTTGCCGAGGCGAGCACGAAACGAGTAGAGTTTTCCAGGTGCTTGACACGATGTGCTCTACCTGGAGCAATGCCCTACCCGCCCTAGACCCCATCACATGGAACTATTCCCGTTGCCATGCATCCTAAACCACAGATGAGACCGAGCGTCGTGCGCACGTCAAAGTGTTGGGACATATTTTCAAGGCGCGACGTTTCGTCGGAACTACAATACTTCGAAGGATATGGCTGGGTTGCTCCAATTGATCGAAAGAGTATAACTTGTCTATACACTTACATACAGACAGCCACCTAAAAGAGCAGCATCGAAGAGCCCTTGCATTATTATACAGGAGAACACGATCTACCCCCCGCTATCAATTACGGCGCCTGCCGCGAGGAGCATACGGGGCCGAGAATTATCACTGACAAACGCTCGCAAAACGGTCTTTCTGTAGTTTCACCGATCGTCCGCCACGGCGCTTGCCCCACGAAATTCGCAGGCATGGGCCCCCCCGACATCGCCCATGGCGTACTCAGGGGAACGGAGGGCAGCGTCGTCGATGGTTCAGAGCCTTGCCAGACAACGGGGGTTGCAAGCACCGCGCCGTCGGCATTCGCAGGCGCCACATCGAAGAACCGGGAGCAGCAGCATCGCCAAGGGGGGCGGCGGCGAAGCCACCGCCGTACAAACCGTGGTGTCTTCGGGAGAGGGGCCGAGAGCGAGTGGCGGTCGTCGAGATGCTGAAGGCACGGGTGTGGCCACGAGTTGTGGCAGCGGCAGCAGCAGCAGCGGCGCCGGCGGCGAGAGCAACATACATCCTCGATCCCAGGAGCGCCCTGTGCGGGACGCAAAAGGAGGGCAGCACGAGGCAACTACTAGAGCAAGCATTGGCAACGGGCCAAGCAGCGGTAGTGGCAGAGGTTCAAAGGGGATCGCCGGGTGCGGTGAAGCCTGGGGGGCAAAATCGGTTACGGCAGCTTGGAGTCCCTCTGAACGGGCACACAGCGGCGGAGCAAGCATGGGGCGAGGAGGTAAGAGCTCGAAGAGTCCTGAGGCCTGGGCATGGGTCGGAGGGGGCGGGGGGGCGGCGAGAGGGCGGGCAATGCTCAGCGCGTACGGCCTCCAATCCGAGAAACACAACCCAACCTGCCCGCGAGGTACCCCTAGCGACAGCGGTGTAGCGAGGCACGCACGCTGGCAACGCGATCAGAACGGAGGAGGTTCGCGGAAGTTGGAGGGCGGTGGCAGCAGCCGTGGAAACGAAGGTGGCCGAAAAGTCGGTGGAGGCGAACACAATGGCGGCGTTGGAACGGCCGAATCTCACTGCGACGGTAGCGATGTTGATCTTGCTGGCGATGAAACGTCGGACCAAGCTTCGGCCGCTCACGTTCAGAACGTTTGTCGCGGGAAGGGTCGTAAGCAGCACCAATCTGTTGCTCGTCACCGAAGATCGACCGCGACTAGCGATAGATGCTCCTCCGGAGAGTGCTCGGCTAGCTACGGGGATGCTTCAGCGGAATGCTCCATCGCCGGTGATGTTGCTCCCGCACGGGAAGACCATCGAAATGCACCGGACGGGTTCTTGGGCAACAAGATGGTCACTGCCGCAAGCTTTCGAGAAAGTGCCAGGCAGGCAGGAAAGACAAGTGCCAATAACCACGCGCAGCCAGAGGAATTTCTCGTACCTCCTCGCGGTTCAACCGCGTCCCCGCACCAATCCATTTGCTACGCTGCAGGCTCGGGACCGGCGGCCATGGCAGCAACCTCCCGACACGGGGAAATCCTAACCATGGACGGAAGGGGCGGGAGCGCGGCACCCTTGCACCGACCGCAACTGAGCCTCAAGACATCATCTTCTGCTTCATACGCACCCGTCCTGCCCGGCCTTGGCACGGGTACAGGGGCAGGAGCTGTGGTGATCGATACCGCCGAGGTCGGTAGTGGAGACGCTGTCCGAGTGGGTGGCGGCGGCAGCGTGGCGCGGGATAGCCACAGCACGCCGCCGGTCTCGCGACAGCTATCTCACTCCCTCCACTCCCCCTGGCAGGCCAGGAAACAGTCTAGGGGCCTCCCGCGGAGCAGAGGCGGGGCGGGAGTTGGCCGCCACCAGCACCACTCAGAGGAGCGCCGACTTTTGGAGGAAAGGCAGTCGTCGGGGTCTACGGCGGGGAGACTAGGCTCGTGCTTTTCGCCGGAATCGACGGAAAGGGCTTTGTCGTTCTCCTCCTATCCTGATTCTGATTCGGCGGCGGCCGTTGCGGGTGCTGTAAGTGAGCCGAAACACGACTGCAGCAGCACCGCCAGCGTGGTGGTGGCGCGGAGCGAGCGTAACCCGTTCGATCGGCTTCTCCATCCACACCACCGTGAAGGCGAGAAGGCCTCGTCTTGTCCTTCCGCTAGAGGCGGCGGCACGGTTGCGGCCGCACCTCACTCCGAGCTGATCGACCGCTTCAAGATGGCTACTAGACCCACGTCGCGCCGGGGCACCCGCAAGCAGGGAGGCGGAGAGGGCGAATGCGCCCCCGAGCCCGCGTTCTGCCTCTTCAGTCGGGGGGGCGTTGTCGGCGGTAGCGCTGCCGGTGGTGCGAGAAGGCGAGGCGCCGAGGAGGAGTAGCGGAGGAGGAGAAGTAGCAGGGAGTCTGGGAGGCAATGATTGAAAGACGACAACAATGGAACTTGTAGTACCGCGTGGACTGTCCGATACGAAGGACTGGTTGATTGTGGCCACCGCGGGCTGGAGGGTACCAATTGATGGTGGAAGAGACTCTCTCAGGCACCGGCAATATCGTTACGTTCACATTGGTCGTCCATTCGACGATCGATACATCGATACCCGCATCCGGGCGCATGTTTTTTTGCGCGGGGTGAGGTAATAACAGGAAGGGCACCCGTTCCAAGCTTTGTGTACACACTTTCAGCTCAATCTCCCCGGGATGATCCAGAGGAGAGGGGAATGCCTGTAGGTGCATTTATGCACGAGGTGTTCCTTCGTAATTCGTACCAAAAGACCCGCATGTACTGAATCCACCCAATTGAGCCATATGTGTACATACCCAGCAGCTGACGTCAAAGCTCCACCCTCATCTCGCCACCATCGGGAACAGCCGTGCTTGTTGTATTCCTTAATCAGAGCGGCGCCAAGCCCCGAGAAAGAAGCTACGACGCCACCGCTACCCGTACATGGCGTGATGAATCGACTTGTTATCCTGCCGATCGCCTACCCTGCACTCGTTATAAACGGAAACGACGGGTGGGTTGAACCGAAGTGATGTATCACACAAGTATACTACAGGGGAGGAGGCTGTTCATGGGATAACGGTTCGGCGGCGAAGGAAATCTCGACCAGTCGAAATCACTGCAAAACTGATATCTTGAATTTTCTATCCGGTGACAAGCTCGTGGCCGGCTGCCTACTCGTGTGGGCAATCAGACCAACACGCCAGACCATTGCCAAGCCCCTCAACTCGCGGTTCAGAACGGCACTGAGCCCGGAGAATGGAAATCGTGGTATTCGTTCGCGTGCTGAGTACAACTTCACGTACAAAGCATGTGACGATGGTAAAAAGGAATGAACCGCATGGATGGCCTGTTAGTCAAGGGCGAAAAAATGGTTTTCATGCTTACTTTTTATATGTAGGCTTCAAATCGGCTCACAAACCCTCGACCGAAGGGCCCGGCGAGTAGTCGTACTGAGTGGATAAAAACCTATCGGGTTGACGAATCGAATAAGTTCGATGCTCCCCCCTCTCAATACACGGAACCTTCGGTCTCCCTTTGTCTTCGCGTCCGAGAGAGTAAGGATCAACGCCGGAGTGACGGGGAGCGCAAGACCCTGTGTCCACGCCCTCCCGTGCACAGCACCGCACGGAACACAACAACTGGAACAAGGGTTCAACAACCAACTCGAAAAAAGAGTAGGCAGCATCCCGTCGAAGAAGCACCCAGCAGATCAGCTACGAGGGGAGAAGTACGTTCGGATGCCTCGCGCTGACACATCGTGATCCATCCGTTTCATAAATCCTCGAAAGCTTCGCCAGACGCCGAAACGCCGTGGGGAGACCTGATCCGTGTACCTACATCGCCTGCCCCAAAATATCCACCAACCCGACGCAAAAAACATTGACTACATTACATACGTTTGCCACTATTATGGCGAATGTGTGCTTTGCGTGTTGGTGTCCGAATTGCCACGACCAGCAATCAGAATAGAGCACAGCAAAGCAAGCCGCTCCAGCAAGAACGCAGTCCGGCTGACCCGCATCCCTGGCTAAAGCGGAGGGACAAAACCACATCCAAAGAGCAGCAGCAACAAATGAAGATCTGCTCTCGTTGCCTCCCATCTCGGATGAAGCAAAAAAAAAAAGAAACGCCGCAAGCATGATTAGAAACAGAGAACTTAGAAAAAAACATACAGCTAACGAGACCGACGAGATGCTACCAACTATACAACCACACGATAACGATCAAGGGGCGGAAAAACGCTACATACCGGCACTCCGCCACAAACACGACAATGCAACGGCTCTACAGGCACCATTAACACGCATATGTGCCACCTATTCATTTCTTACACGGTATCATGTCATTCGGCCCGGCCAGGTCCCTGCCACCATGCAAAACACAAACCAGTTTATTTGCATGCATAGTCTCGAACGGCGAGCGGCGGCGCAAACTGGCAAGTGCAACTTAGTGCCTCAACACAATCAATCTCCGAAACGAACGGTCGTCCTATCTATATCCCATCCCCACCTCCAATTTCTCTGGACGCCTGGGACGAAACTAAACTTTGCGGCACACCGTTGTTGGGAGTGGAAGCCAGCCAGACATCCCTAGTAGTGCCTAACAACAATCGGGGACACGCATATAAAATCCTAGATGACATGTTCCACCCGGGCAAATCAGAAGCAGCGACGACGCCCTCGCCTGGGCCAATCAGATGCAGTGATGACGCCCTCTCCGGGCCGATCAGACGATCTCTCCAGGGCCGATCAGACGATCTCTCCAGGGCCAATCAGAGGCAGCGATGACGCTCTCTCCTGCGCTAAATACAAGAAGCGATGGCGCCCTCTCCTGGGCCAATCAGAAGCAGTACCGACGCTCTCTTTCCCCGGCCAATCGGACGCCATTTCCCACGCCAATCAGACCCCCTCTCCCGAGCCAATCAGACGCAGCAGATGAGGCCGGTGCACTTCCTCCCCTCGCGGGTGGTCTCCTTGCTCTTCGTGGGGCAGATGACGTGCTTGCACCCCCGGCAAAGGCACCAGTACCCGAAGCATCCGCCTAGGCAACCGACGCATGGGCCGGGGCACCCCAGGTCTTCGTGAACGTCGAGGGCGAGGTCCGAAGCGTCGGTGCTGCGCGAGCAGATTGTGATCTCCATCCATACCTGCCGTCGGGTCGGATCGGGCGCGCGGTGCAACACGTCGCAGCAGTTGGGGCTCTGAAAGCTTGCAAAGATGGCGAGCGTGGCCGTGAGATTGACAGGCGACGATCCAAAAAACAACAGCTCTTGCGTGTACAGGCACAGCACAAGCATAGCTCGGGTGCGGTGTGGTCCAACACAACCCAGCAGTGGAAAAACGGATATCTGAGCGCTGAAAGCTTGCAGAGATGGCACGGGGCGTGCGTGCGTGGCCGCGAGATTGACAGGCAGCGGTCCCCGAAACACGCAACTCGTTCGCGTACATAAATATCCGTGGCGAACAGGAAGACATCCATGCATTCTCCAGCGTTACTGGCGGCAAGGGTGGTCGTGTACAGCCTGGTTTTCATGTGGGAATTCACAAATGTTCCGGAGTCTAGGGTTATGTGACGACAATATTTGTGCGGGTTGACACTTTTCGACAGAAGATCAACATATCGGACCTTTTCGAACATGAACCGGTGAACTTATGAGGGAGCACCCTCGAAACGTACCACCGAATCGATCTGCGAACAGATTTCAAGCAACCAACATTGTTCCATTAATTGGCAATGACCGATAAAAAACAACAGCAATCGGACAGTACATAATTTTCACCTCACGGAAGTCTTCCCAGCACATCCAGAATGTACCGTCGTTGTCGTCGTTCTCGTGCCCCACGGCGACCTAGGGTACAGAGCCAAATGTCACCCACAGAGAGAAAAAAAAACGCGGCAGTTTGGCAACTTTTGAAAGCCGAAGCGCTGTCACATCTGCAGCGAGAGGGAAACGTGAGCAGTGCTGACATCGGTACACGAGAACGACAACCAGCGACAAGTTCGGCACCAGAACCAACACGATACTGTACCGTAATGCCATGGTCCAAGGGAGACGAACTCATGAAGCAGGCCTGAATGAATTTCCTGTCGTTTTCAGTCCTGCGGAACGGACAGCAAGCCTCAAAAGAGTGGACAAGGCATAGAGGGCAGTCCCTGTTCTCCTCTACTCCTCCCCTCACAACGCCCAAGTAGTTGGGTGAGAGCCCGATCACGGAATGGTTACGAAGACGGAATCTTATGAAGGGCGTATCGCCCCAGTCAAACTCCAAGCAAAGCAACAACTGCTACGGTCATGGAAAACCGCAGCCGTTTGGTGGACTCACACTGATGAGCGGGGATTTCTTCCACTCCGACGTGCCGTCCGCCCAGCGCCCCTTCCACTCCCCCTTCTTGCCCTGGCAGGGGAAGAGAAGCAAAACCGCAGCAGAACGTGAAAAGACGAGAAGAATTGAGGAAAACCCCAGCTTAAACTTTTCTCTTTCATTCGGTTAGAGTCTCTAGATAGAACCTGCACGAAGCGACCGGGTTTGTCACCCTTCGGTGCACGCCGTAAAAAAGCAAGGAAACAAGGGAGTCCATCTTTGTACATTCATACAACAATAGACACGGGGCAAACATACATACATTCACAGACGACGACACAACCAACACAGATGTCACGCATGTATGTCCACGCCTGCTATCAAGCAACAAGAGCAGCAGTCAGCAGCATCCAAACCTAACATTGAGAACACGAACGATTTCAACAGACTTCACTCATCAATGGGAAAGGCTACGTAACAACGTTCGATGCTAAGTCGATGCAGAACGCCACCCCCGTCCAAACTCCAGAGACACAATTCTTTCACCCAAAACTTTTCGGGTCTGTTAATAACGCTAGTCGCACATGAAAAGCTCGAACAAAACAGTACATAGCGTGCGTGACTCGCCACAATGACGAATATAACCAACCACAAGCGAAAAGGATGACAACCTTTAAACGTGGCAGTGACGAACACAGCCACCAACAACGGCTGGCCGAACTCGAGAAATACGCTGTAGCCCAGGGAAGGGTAAACTTCTAATATCAGAAACAGGTACAGTAGGTGTCCCGGTATACTGCCGGTATGTGTCCAGGGGGGGGGGGACCGTCACAATACCGGCCACCGGCACTATTCAGAGTTGTGCCTTTATGGTGCCAAGCCGGCACTATTCAGGGTGTATAAATCCCTCAATAGTGCCGGCCTGGCACTAGTGAGGACTGTTCGACTTCGGGGTGCAGTACTTGCATCTTGCGGGGCTGACAGAGAACCAAACGAACGGTACACGGATCAATTGTGCCGTGGGCGGCGTTGGAGAGCTTCTTCACGTTTCGTGAGGCTGCTGGCCTATCGAAACACGGCTTTGGTCACATTCAGCTTAACTTCATCAGGTATATTTGTTGCACCATGGTTCAAGACCCACCTCAGCGCACACCTTAGGGTAGTGAACGTCGCCGCTGCCTCTTAACCGTAGACCGTGCTGCCCCATCACGAGGCACCTCGCTATCAAAAATGATCTACTGTATTGTTGTGGCGAGAAGGCCATCATACTATTCAAGCAACCTCGAAGGCACCCCTCCAAAGCGAAAGGAAGACGCTCATGCACGCATCCGATGTACGTTTAGAGGTACAACATGGATGTAGTGCTCCTTACATGGGCGCAACAAATCAGATGCAACCGAAAGGGGCGAAGACGACGGAAAATTCCCCTGTTCCTTGGATAAAAAATAGAGAGAAGACCCAGCCTTCAGAACCAAGAAAAACGACTGGCCAACCAAAAGATGTCAGTCTCAATGCGTTTGAAAACAGATGTTTCTCAAGGCCCGGATCTGGGACCCCGTGAGAGGGTGTCATGGAGGAGGCTGAGCTATTCTCCGGGTGAAAGACATAAACGGTAGCAACAGAGGAGAACTTCACGTGTCTGCCAACGCTACTACTTCGTGTTCGGAGTGTTTTCATCCTTATCCTTGTATTTACCGCCGCCGCTCTCACTACAAATATTTCCACATTTTTTCGGGCGTTTATCTCCAAATAGACTCTGTCCCTCTGCGGCGTTTGTTGTGAGGAAGGTCATCCCGCTTAAAGCGCTTACTCCCCTCAACGCATATGTTCCTCCTCCATCATTACTGCCATCCTTCGATATTCTTTCCACATCCTTCGTCACTACCACCATCTTCCTTTTCGCACGCCTCACTACTGAAATCCCAACCTATTGGTCGAGTTTGCTGTGGTGGAATTTGGTCGATCCGTAAATCATGACACTTGAAGACGTCATGCGTACTGACAGAAACCGAGCGATACTTGTAGCTCGAAGGTAAACCTCCTCCGAATCCTGTTGGTGTTTAAGGCTTGAGGCGAAAAAAGAAAAAAAGCTTTGTGGGGGGTGTGAACCGGCGCTATTGAGGGGTCCGATCGTGCCTGAACCGGCACTATAGCGGGCAGCCCTGAATAGTGCCGGTTTGGCACTATTCAGGCCTGTGTGCGCCAAGAAATTTACCGGCACTATACCGGACTTTGGCACTATTCAACCTGCACTATACTGGGACACCTGCTGTACGTCCTCATTGATTCAATCAACTTGCCTTCCTACCACCACTCGCCTGCACAACTGCACGTTAGTCACGGTAGACAATCAAACCAACTGATATCCACAACCCTCCCTCTCCCTTTTTGTTCTAGGTTCGGCTTCAACAGACGATCTCGCCGACGGTATCTACCCGTCGTCACGGCAGCGAATCAAACCAGTCAAGAATGTTCACGCCATAATATTTTTCGCCTCACCCAGGGGTTGCGAATCTGAATGAGCTTCTCCCCGTGCATGTCGATGGCCCTCATGATGGAGTACGCGTGGTTCTCGATCAACCCGTCCTTCCGCACTCTCTCCGACTGCGGGACAGCAACGGGCAGGCAAAACACATCCGTGTGAGCTCCGATGCCTGAAGCGTTTCGCCCTTCTAGGCTACATGTCAACGATGATACATTTTGGCACCTGCAAACAGCCTAGGCGCTACGGCAGCGGTTACGTCTGGCTTCACACTAGCCGATGCACTTCTCGCCCAGCCCATCAACTCCACGTGCTCGGGTGCAACAATACCGCACCCACCGGCAGGTTCCGGTGCCACGTACGTACGAATGCACGTGTGTACCACGTCCCAATCCGGAAGCCACGAAATTTCCGAACCAGCAACTGCCAATTGGTTACGAGGCACGTGTCGACTTGCCACCGCTAGCGCGGTTTCGCTGGCTGCACCGCTTTTCCTGTTGTCACTGCCACCATCTGCAGTGCTATCACGCGGGGGTTCCTGCATGCTGCCAGCTGCAGCTGCTACCTCAAGGCAAGAAGAGCTTACCACGGGGCCCGTGATGCTGCAGCACATGGCGCCCTTGCGCCCGTGCGCGTACGTCAGCAGCACCCCCCAAAACTTGTCGCTGTGTCATGTGTGCACGTTTGCGTTGTGGTGAGATTACACGTGCACGAGGCGTACACATCACGAGCGCAACACACCGAGTATCGGGGGGAACAGGAAGCTCAGACAAAATATTCATACTCACCTGCGCCAAACAGCTCCCTCTGCAGGCTTGTCAACAGGCGCCATGGCGTGCGACCAAACCATCGCATTGGGGATGTACAAAATATCGTGCAATTCGGTGTATACCTCGTCCGTTTACCATGTTTGTGTTGCGGGATGGTAGGAATTCGGCCAAACTCCCGGACGCTTACCAAAGGCCGGCTTGAATTGTGACACCAATCCAGCACGAACACCAGTAATGAAACGACACCAGAACACTGGCACAGGTATCCCAGACCGAAACCTTGGCGCGACACTGCTTGTCGCTTCTCTGCTACGTCACTGCTCATAAATGCCGACTCCAGCCACCACCGATGTAGGCGGAACGGCAGCCTGGCGCCAGCACAGGGCGTAAAAAGCACGCGCACATATCACCCGGCACTTAAGTACAACGCCCCAACTCTTACCTCCTTGAAACAATTGAATGCCCTCAAGCTTATCATTCACCCTAGTCCGATGCGTACCCTTGAAAAACTCAAACGTTGAACAACAAGATCGATCGTTCACGCTACTTCGTATGCACCCTTGCAACGAAACGTTCGTTCGACGCCGTGACGATCGTTCACGCCGCATGCGACACACACGCAGGGCGCAGCCTGTCGCTGCAGCCTACACACCTCTCGTGGACCTCCTCGGTGCCGACGCTGGAGGCGTCGCGCTTGTTGTCCGCGGAGGGCTTGAACAGAAACTCGTAACGCCTCCACTGGCCAGGCTTTCCCGGTCGAGCCGGCTTCAAGCGCCTATCATACGTATGACAAACACACACACGGGGCCCCGTCAATGGCATCTAGAAGTGTCTTGTGTTTTCAACCGCACTACTACTGACGTCGTTTCATTGGTCAGCCGGTTAGCGCGGTCACACAGAGGTACCAGTGGAGGAAACATACGTCAACCCTCAGCGTGACATGCATACCGTTGCTATCGTAACGCTCCCTTCACATACAGTAGCAGCCGGGGACAAGTCAACAAGATTTGGGAAGATTGATTTTCTCTCGCTTGTTATCTTCATGACAGTCGTTCATACCTCCTCCTCTTCATGCCGTTCGACGACCGAAAAAAGTTTCCGTCATCATGAACGAAGTCAAAACTTGGTGCATACGTACGTGTTCAGTCGTTGTGGCTGCTCCTGCTGCTGCTGTTGTCTACGTCTTTGCCGTCATTGTTGTTGTTGTCGTTGGCCCATCGACCAAGGCGCCTTCTCCTATTGGTACACATTTGACTTGTTGGGTGGGGTCACGGAGGTTGAAAAACAAAAGAAGCCACAAGAGAAAATAGAACAGTTCGCCAGGAACATAGTTGTCGTTTCACCTGTATCAATTTTAGTGCGGGAAATGGCCTACACAGCAGCAGTTGCACAAAGTCACCTGAAGGTCCACACGTGGTTCCCCGTTAGAACCTTGAGCCCCCAGGCCTCGAACCCTCCGGCGATGTTCGAGTAGCTGCCGCAGAACCTGCCAGGAACACCAAAAAAGCGCCGACGATTCGGTTAACCCACCAAGCTACCCACAAAAAAAAAACTCCCTAGATCAATCAACGTGAACAAACGTGCGTCGACAGCCAGTGCCAGTAACAGCATCAGAACGGCACGAGCAAATCTCCCTCCGTGCTTAATCACAATTAGAAAGGGACGCAGAGCTCGGGGGTGGGGCAAGATAGATACTGCCTGAACAAGTTATCGAAGAATGCCATGTGATGCAGACTGCGTAATGCCCGCGAAAACCCACCGGACAAAATGACACAACACTCAAGGGATTACGGCAGGAGCAGCTACAACAACACCGCTATCAACACCAGCCTTATCGACCACCACGATCACCGCTGCCAAAATGTTCAATCGAAATTGTCCCCGGCAGGGAAGATGCGGCTGTGTGGCTGTACGCAACAAGCACCATTTCACCGCAATCAACATGGGTAGACATAAACAAGTCCCGAATCGCGCGTGCTTACTTGGCGACGGCCTTCTCGAGGAGGACGACCCACAGCTCCTTCCCGTTGGGCTTTGCGAAGATGGGATTTCCGTGCCTGGTGGGGATGTTGTCATCTACCGTGATGGTCCTCCACCTTTCCTGCGTGATGTCGAACAGGCGCACCTTGTACTTGCCCCTTCACGGCAACAGAACGTCAAGATCAACGACACACACAAAAAGACAAAACAGGCGTTGCGTCTAGCACACAACGTCGTTTCGTTCTTCTGACACTCGAAGAAATTGACGGAAGGGCACCACCCTAGGCCGCATCCCCATAATCCAAGAACTGATTTTTCTCACGTTACACATGGCAACCGGAGAGCCCATATGCAACACGAAGTCAAGCGCTAGGAGGCGTCCATCTGGACCCTACAAAGAAAAGCAAGGTTCAATACGGGAGGGTGGTCGTGACAACAACATGACTGAAACCTTTTCTCCAACACGCTTGAGCCCAAAGCTTCGAGTCGTCTAGCCTAGTGACGTCGGATAGTACCACCTCTGGCGGCTACACAACACAAAGACCGTTTGGCATGCCGCGTCGTGGCGATAGCTCTCAACCACCATTACAGGCAGCATCACAACCTTCACCGGTAGTGACGACCTCGCTGTTATGCATCCGTTAGCGGAGTCACAACAGCAGTGTCACCTCCATGCCACAAGGCCTCATAGGCATAGAGGCGAATAACCACAAGCCTCATAGCTTAATAGGCACGCGTCGTCACTCTCCCTCCCTGCAAACACACAAAAAATCCTAATTCTTTCTTGCCTGTAGGAGCGTTCGCTGTTGACAAAGAGCTTCTTGATGGCACCAGGCATGGTGCCGGCCAGGGTCGCCATCGCAGCAACTAGCCAGCAGTCGCCCAGTGCCCCCTGCTTGACGTCTTCGGCCTTAACGCCCTGTATCAGCAGGGAGTTCGACAGGGGAGAAGAGGCAGGGGGTGCCGATAGGAAGCGTAGGTCGATTTCGTGTTTGATGGACAGCGAGCGACGCGAACACTTATCGACAAATTAACCTCAACTCGCCACCATGTTGCAAACAGAGTGTATTCCCTACAGCCGCAATTCTACTATCTTGGCGCCTGGTCGAGCTCGAACGACTTACCCAGCAACAAGCAAAAGTGGATTATGAAGGAAGGCAGTAGATGTACAACCTCGTCGTCGTGAACATAAGACTAAAACAAGCGCGTCACATGCCAACACGCTGTACGCCGGTGCTACTCAACAGACACAAACCGCAAAACAGGGGCTCCAACTTTTGCTGGCAGTCCCAAAGGCGAGAACATGGAAAAAAGCACGAACACCAATTCTTGATTCACCCCAGGCAGCGGTGAGAGGTTGTGCGAGCCTGGCGAACGCTGTAACACCACGCCCTGCCTGCCTGTCCTCCCGATCACGCCCCCTCCCCTGCGCGGCCGTCTCGAAATTGCACTAGAAGACAACGCCTACGACGTATCGCATGCAAACATACGGAGAACATGCCTTGTTGAAGAGGTGAAACGGCTCGTCATCATCGTGGGCCTTTATCAGGTCAGCACGCTTCCACTGCACCCCGCCGCCAGCCGCCTTAAACTTGTGGGTCAGCTCCTTCCCGATCGACTTGTCCGTGGCAGGGAAGCTCTGCTTGCGAAAATTATTGGGGCACATATCGTGTAAACTTCCCAAAAATCGGTGCGGTATGCACATTTTTAAGCAGGTGCGGAGGGAACCCCGACTGATGTGCTAGAGTGGGATGGGAGAAGACCAAACGGCGCAATCAACAAGTGGAATTTGTAAAACATCCAATACTTGGACGCATTGGCAGGGTGCTCGAACTCTTCAGACGAAAACAAATGCGAACCACCACGGTGTATCTTGACAACAACGAGTGTAGATCATGGCGTGAGCGAGTACGACGGTCGATGCTTGCCCGGACACGCGGCGTAGGCTTAATAGATAAAGGTTTGCTCGTGGCCTTGCAAGGAAACGAGGGCGCCAAGTGAAACAAAAAATTCTTGCTCGAGATCGATCGTACTGCAAGAGCGTCACAACATACTTGGAGCTGATCGGTTACACGAATTAATTCGGACACTGAATATATTCCTCGCTATGTCTCAGCCTCGTAACCGGGACAGATTTGCGCGGCATTGCTCGCAGACGTGCAAATCAATGCCACGACGCCGAAGGGCACTCTGCCTTGCTCACAAAAAATTCCAAAACCGTTCCACACAGGAAAGGTGTTCCCATTAGGGCTGGGCAAAATACAACGCCGCCGCCGCCGCCTCCCGGGCCGAAGCCGACGATACCATAGCTGCTCCCGGTGACGCTGCTCCCACCGCCGCCGGTCGGGCCGGGGCCACCCGTGCCGTCGCCGCTCGCGCCGTCAACGCCGGTCGTCCCACCTTCGTTCCCGCTGCTGCCGCCGCGGGTGGCCATGCTGCCGCACAAGCCGCAGAGATGGCGCCCTCGTTGTACGTCGGCACGAGGTGGCGAGCCCCCCGTGGAAGCCCCAGCATCGCCCGCGGTGTACCCCGCAGTTCCGGAGGGGTACATCAACTTGTAGCAGTCGCGCGCGTGCGATTCGCAGGGGTTGAGGTAGAAGCATCGCTCTCCTTTCGGCTCGATCTTGGTGGCGATGTGCGCGTGGTGCTTAGGGTCGTTTGCGCCTCTGCACGTGTGTTTCATGTTCTTTGTGTCTTAATTGATCAAACAAAAACACGACCAAATCGGGCAACCAAAAGTATTTACCCGAGTCATTACACCGTAAAGCATCGAAGTAAACCTGCATCGCGTTCACGGCCGGAACGTGCGGGCAAGAACCTGGATCAGGGCTGCACGGGAAAAACCAAGAAGGACGACATCGTGATTGACCTCATTCACGATGTCGTCCTTCTTGATTTTTCCCGTGCAGCTTTGATCCAGGTCCTTGCCCGGCCGTTCCGGCCGTGAACATGATGCAGGTTCATTGCGATGTCAATACAAATTGTGAACATTGAAGGGTGACTGTGATCACTCGGGCAAAGATTGTGGTTGCATGACGANATTGTGAACATTGAAGGGTGACTGTGATCACTCGGGCAAAGATTGTGGTTGCATGACGAGAATAGGATGTTTCATTGGCAATAAAAGACAAAAGAAAATAAAACACATTACGAACAGACAGAGGAGCAAATGACGCCAAGCACCACCGGCGCATTCCCGTCAAGATCGAGCCGAAGGGAGAGCGATGCTTCTACCTCAACCCTGGCAAATCGCACTCGCGAGACTGCAACAACGTCATTTACACCTCCGGAGTTGCGGGGTACACCACGGACATCGTTTGGGGCTTCTACCGGCGCAAGCCGTTCTTCGGCCTCGTGCCTACGTACAACGGGGGAGCCATTCCTGCGGCAAGCGGGGCAGCATCGCGGGCCGCAGGCGGCAGCAGCGTGAACAGCGGTGGGACGACCGGCATCGACCGCGCGAGGGGCTAGGGCAGCGCCGGCCCCCGGCCCGACCGGCGGCGGTGGGAGCGGCGGCACCGGCTCCAGCAGTGCCACCGGGAGAGGCAACAGTAGCGGCGGCCTCGGCCCGGGCAGCGGCAGCGGTGACGCTTGGCCGGCTGAAGAATCGTGCTCAATGTCTATCACAGAGTCAGCAATAGGTGGGCAAGCGTTAAATGACCTTGGCGCTTGGCGCTGGGGGTGTGTGTTCTCGTTCAATCTCCCAGCTGGTGAGAACAGAAGTGGCGGGCTGAAATTGGACTACAGCGGGTCCAGTCGTATCTACCCCGGCGCCAGAGGAACATCAGCCAGGACATCACCGGACAACCTCCCGTTGCTTCTGACTATTTGCCGCGTACAAGCCACTGCTCGCCTCGCCCTTGTCGCGTTTCCTCCATGACAGCAGAAAAAAAAAAATCGAAATTCCAAAGTTGACCCGCAACATACTGCTTGTGTGGGTTTGGGTGTATCTGTCTTGTGTAGGACGTCCGAGACGTCGCAAGCACGAGAGTGATTCGACTATGGCTGACTGCTGATGTATATGTCGTGGGAGGTATTCCTCGAGTGCAGCTCTTACCAAAAAGGCAGGACGAGCATCGTCAGTCAACTGCTGCGGCCACATTGAAGTTGTGTGCCCACGCTGGCTATTCGAAGCATTCGCACTTCGCGAACCTTTTCAGGCAAAACATACTTGCGAGCGGGGGAAAGAAGCCTCACCGTATCCGTGAAGGTAAGTCCACACCCGCAGCACACATGCCGCAAGAAGCCGCGGCAGCAGCACCTGAGCATCCTTTGCATCGCCACCCCTATGCAAGGCAAGACGTAGACTCTGGTGCCGAACCACAGGAGGAGGAGCGGAGACAGCACGATCCGCATGCAGAGAGGCCACTCGGCCACGCTTTCGCCCATCATGGTTGCAGCTGCCGTGCGCGATCGCCTTTACGCTTCGTAGAAATGAAAATCAAAGACAAAGTCCCCTCCGTCGTTGGACTCCAACAACTGCTGACACTGAGCTGGCCAGCCTCAGCGAACGCCAGTAGCAACCGCAGGCCCAGGCGCTACCTGCGAGAACTTGTCCTTTTACCCCGGTCACACCGCAGTAAGGGTCGTCCGCGTCCGTTGCACCAGCTGAACCTGAGGGAGGTGATCGTGAACCTGTTTCTGTCGAGACTACCGCAAGCGCTGTGTACCCCACGTGGCAACACGGGCAACGTGCCGATGGAGAGCGTGGCAGCGGCGCCGAGAACATGGGAAACTTCTTCGGTGGTGCGTTGTGGGGGGTCCGCAGAATCTGATGCATACGCTGAGGTACCTCTCGAGGTCCTGATGCACAATCAATGCTGCTCCACCCGGGTTGCAAGGGGCTCCGTACACCCCATTTTTCTTTTTTT